TCTTACTATCTGGTGAACAGTTGCTTATTTTTATTTAGGTTTCTTGAAGCTAAATTTAACGTTTATCTCTTTCTTCACTTCTGTGAGCTTTTTCTTTGGTTATTTTGTTGTTACCCATCTTGATTTCTTAGTTGAATTTGAAATGAGGTAAAAGATCAGCGTTAGTTTGGTTTTCTTGTGGGAACTAAGCTTGTATTGCTGAATTATTTTGTTTTCCTTTTTGTTTTTTTGTTGGTTTCACCGGAACAATGCAGCATAAAAAACATACGATTGAATGAAGTAGTTGCATGTGAATTGTTCGATGAAATGCCCAAATGGAGTTTTCGATTGGTTATGTCTATTTGCATTTATCTTCTGTTCTGTTATTTGATATTAGACTGTTGTTTTGCTATTTGTTGGTGTAGAGGCTTAATAGCTGTGAGCATGAGAAACGAGGTTGGTGCTGTTAAAAGTGTAGAAGGCTATAAACCCCCACCAGAGTTCGAGGAAGACGACAGGGAATTTCTTACTGATATTTCTTTGTCGGACTCTGTAGAGCTTTGGCTTATTCAATGGCCTGCTAACCAAGTAAGATCACATAAACTAATTTAGGAAAATAGGATAGCTACCTTCAATTTGGGAGAAATTAAAATGAACAGCCATAAATGTACATTCTTTCAAGATTGAAGTTTGTTGCAGCCATTGCAAATACTGTTTTACTCGGATTTATTCTTTTCTTTATTGGGTACTGTAGGCTCCGGATTTTGATGGCCAAGAGTTTTCTCTCCAACATCGTCCTGATGGACATTTGGGCAGCTTTCAGGGTTCATCTGGTAATTATCATTTTATCACTGATTTACTATGCTACAATCTTGTCATAACAACAAATTTCCTTTACTCTTTGAATTAATCTAGTATCAGTTTCTTTTTTAAAGCTGTTGGTGCTTAAATCCGCTTGAAGTATGTTTATTTGAATGTGATTTACATCTATTCTGTTCTTTTTTTTTTTTACAATGAGTTCAATTTATTCGCTGTTTCCATCAAAAGGAAAATCATATGATGTGGTCAGCTGTGTGGCTCAAGAACCTGAGGCTTCTGTCTTTCTACCATCTTCATCAGACACCAGATTAGGTAAATGCCCCATCTTTGTTTTGAATTTGTTTTACGTCACATGTCAGTAGCATCAGTCTCTATCTCTCTTTTTCTTAGTGTTAAACTTGGCTGCACTCATTCTGCACCAGTCCTGCTCTCATCTAGATTACGAGATGGTAGTTTCATCTTTAATACTAATGGTGTTAATACCTGGACTTCTATCTTTTCCTTTGTCCCCAGTGAACCCCATTTCGTATGTTTTTCACATGCCGCTATGTGCCGATTAGTGCGGTCTAGAACTTTTAATCTACTCCTTCCATTGTCAACGAGGTCGATGCTGGTTCTTCTACTACAAGTCTTAACATTATACTAGACAGCTATAATATGCTAACACTTCATTCCACGTTCTGTCATGTCTAAAACGTTGAACACAAACGATCAATGTTGGTACTTTGTGCATCTTAATTTGAGTCCAACGTCTCCTGACGTTTGTTCAAATCATGTCATATTCTAGTGGCATAATGTCTAAACTTCTTCTGTGTTTTGATTTGTCCTTTTACTCTTGAAGTTGGAAAGATTGCCCGGCGGATATCTCTCGTGCATTACCCAGAACCTGAAGAACTCGAAAAGGCCACCCCTATGAAATCAGTATATAAAAAATCTTCTGGAATGTCACTGACCACTTCATCTCGTCCAACTACAACATCACGAGGCCCACACTCGAGCAGTAGAAGAACAAGCTCTACACGAAGTAGTAAGCCAAGAAGTTCAATATCTGAATGTGGGGAACCATCAAAGCCTTCAAGTATTAAACAGGAACCAGAACCCTCCGAGTCCAGAGATTATCTGAAAAAGGATTCATCGAAAAGAAAACGTTCACAAGCCTAGTCGATCGACCGACTAACCACTCAATACAAGATTGAGGGATGTGATCATTGTGCAGCAACTTTTTCAGGGCCCTCCCGGCTATCTAGTGAAAGTAAAACAAAAAAGGCAAAAGAAATGAATGAGGTTCCTGCAAACTGTATTCATTAGTTTTTGACTGGTTACTAAAGTATGTCTGTACTCTTATTTCCCATTTGTCTTTCCTTGGATTAATTTTGGAGCAGTTTTTACGTCATGGGAAGTTGTCTCTTTGATCTGTCATACTAGTTATAGAAAATTCTTCATTAATATATTATTTATTAATTCATCTGCATTGTGACATTAGTAGTGGACATGGAAATGATCTTGATATGAAGGGAAACCATATGCTACCAATCTAGCATAAAATAAATATGAGAATGATAGAGCGTTCGAGGGAATTGGTTCGATTCTTATCTAGGATCTAATATCTTATGACTTTCTCGACAACTTAATCTAGTAGGTTAGATAGATATTTCGTCGAGTTCTTAGTAGTCAACGATCGTAAATAAGCTCGTTTAAAAGTTACATTATCATGAGTTACAAATTAAAACCTCTAACCTATAACTTACCAAGTTATAGTCGTAGAACTATTTAAAGTATCCCGATAAGCAACAACTTATGAAATTACGAAAAAGTTGAACACAAAATCAGTTTATGGGTAGGGTAGGAATATGAATATTGAAGGGGGAGAAGTGAAAAAAAAGGTGGAAAGAAGGGAAAATTGATTGAAATGGAAAGGACATGGTGTCCTTTAACCAAATGGAGGGGTACCCATCTGAGGGTACAGACACATCATATTACATGTGGGGAGGTCCTACATGTTTAAGGAGTATAGCCTTTCTGTCAATGCCAAAAAGCCTAAACCCACACACAACATCAGATGACCCTAATCCAATCTCCATCTCAATTGTCCTTTTTTTTCTTATTTTCTCTCCTTAATCGAGATTCGACTCTAACTTTAGGACATGACTATGATACCATGTTAGATGAACACGACTCTTGACAATGGTATGATACTATTCACTTTGAGTATAAGCTCTCGTAACTTTGCTTTTGGGTTTTCCCTGCGGAGAGTATTCCTTAATTATAAACCCATGATCATTCCCTAAATTAGCAAATATGGGACTTTCATCGAATTTATTGTTAATTTTAAAATATGTATTTTTACCTACTATATAATTATATATACATATTTTTTATTTTTTTACTTGACTTTAATTAAATGTCTAAAAAATAAATAAATAAATATTTTACTTTTTTTATTGAATAAATTACTCGAAGAATTGAATCAACCCAATCTGAAAAATTTAAGATTAAGTTGAATTGCAAAAATCAAACTCAAAAATTGGGTTGAATCTAAAATTATCTCGATCCAACCTACTCACCCTAGTCTCTTTGTTTGTGTGTCTATAGAATTTGAAAACATTAAAGTACAAACATGTTTAAACGAGAAAAGATGGAAAGGGCCAAGGAGGTTTAAATAATGTCTTTGAATCTTCGGAATGATTTTATAGCTTGTTATAAATGATATCAAACCATTTACATCAAAGTTTAAACGAGAAAGATGTGAGCAAAAGAAGATTGAAGGAAGAAACGGACATGACCGTGACATATTGCTTACGTATGAATAACGTGGCATAACGTGTCATATGTAGATGAACCTACAACCAATTGGTTAACAACCAACCGCTCTACTACTGAACTACTGACGAACAACGGTAAATTGGGTTTTAGAGAATTCAATTCTCATTCTCAACCCATGACCAATATGAACTCGAGGTTTCCTTCGTAACTCTCGAAACTTCTTTGTGGTGCCTCCGTTCTATGCCGCATTTCATAGAGAACCTCAAAGTGGCTCTATTTCATTATATTCTATCCATACCTCAATTCCATTCATTTAATATCCCTGTGGTGTCATTGAGTTCTTTTTTATTGAATACCCAGTTGGTTCATCCAACTCGATATTAATAGAGTCCCCAACAATTTTGAAGAACAAAGTTAGAAGACAAAAGAAGTACCTTACAAGAAATTTCTAGTGCAAGTACGATGATGAAGTTCCTACACACAAGAGAGCAGCGGAAGAAATTAGAAAAATGATCGGTAGTTATTAACTCACGGAAAAAATTTAGAAAGATTACCAGTACCAAAAAGAATCGAAACACACTGCCTGAAGTTTTTGAGTACAAATAAATTCTCCCATGTCATGTCGAGTGTTGTTTCTCCTTCGGTTCTTTGATTCAGTGTAGAGATAATGGAACCGAAACCCGAAAAAAGTTTATATCCAATGGAAAACAAACAAAGATTGCATATTTATTACTGAAAAAGAAAAAGTAAAAAAGCAAAAAAAAGGAGTGAAAACTTTGGCAGAAGGTAACTTCTGAAGATAGAGAACAATTTAATAAATGAGGAAGAAGACGACACACAGAGTAGCAGACAGGTAGCTTTCTAATCTCACACAACCTTCCTGCTTCCCCTACATATATGGATTTTCCTCTTCTCTCCCAAATCAAGTTCTTTCATTAATTACTTCAAAAGAAAACACACCCATCAACACTCATTGTCCTTTCGACTTCCGGGTCGTTTATGGAAGAGTAGAACAAAATAACCTTGCGCAGAAGTCGAAAGAGATAACCAGAGAGGACAATATCAACTAGTGGTGAGACTAAGCCGTTACAAATAGTATTAAAGCCAGACATCTAAAAAATGTGCAAGAAGCTGCTCGGTAAAAAGTAGACACGAGACACGCGGACTCCAAAGAGGATGGATTTGGTGGGATCCCACAACAATGGAAGAAAGAATCAAATTGTCACAAAGACACTCAGCTTTGAAGGGTGGATTGTGATATCCCACGTTGTTTGAGGAAAAAAACGAAACTTTTTCCTCCCTTGTCACACCCATTTTAAAAACCTTGTGAAAAGTGGAATTCATTTAAAGACCCATTCTAAGAAACTTCATAATCATAAACAGACAGCGGAATTCATTTAAAGATGCATTTTTTGGAAACTAAAAGGAACAGAGCATATAAATTCTGAAGAACAGAGAAATTTCGTGGCTTAATCAATACGACCACATGCAGTCGAGTTCAGTGGAGTTCATGAATCTTGTTTCGTCGGAGACGGCCCAATTTCCGGCGGAGCTGCAAGCGCCGACATCAGCTGAGGAGATGTTGCCGTGGTGGACCGCCGTCGTTGGAGAAGGAATGTTGACCGGCGAGTAGAAGAATGGAAGTTGGAGATTCTCTTGCAGGCTCCGCAGACTTGGGAACGCCGACAGGCCGATGTTTCGGTGGAAGTGGGTAGATGGGTCGGCGGCGGCGAGCGATAGTGGAGGGGCAAAATCGTAATTTGGGATGTTTAAGCTGCCGCCGGTTGTGGTGGAGAAACAGGACACGTGCTCTCTTGCTGCTGGGCTGTTGTACGAGCAGCTGTCACGGTCGGGTATGTTACCAGACGCCGACGAAATGGTGGCCGGAGCGGAGTAAACTGACGAGTCGAGAAGTGGCGGGAGAGACACCGAGGACGGCGAACTTGGTTCTGGGTAGACGTTAACTGAACCGGGAACAAACCGCGCTTTCTTTGAACCGCCGCCGTTGCTCGAGGTGGCTCCGCCACCTCCACCGCCGGCGCCACTCTTCTGAAACACCCTCGAAATCACCCACTCATCCTGCATTACAATAGAACATAATCAAAATCCGACCAAACTCAAATATATTAACATTTTCAAATTTCATACATAAAATCATCCAAAAATAATAATAATTTAATTAAAAATGCTTATTATGCTAATTAAACTACTCAAAATCTAGCCCATATTACAATTTTTTTAATCTTGGGCTTTGTTTCTTTCTGGGAATTAAATTACTAAAAATATCGTCCTTTAAAAAAAATTCTAAAATGACTAACATTCAACAAATGAATGATAATCTAATTGACCTAACATTCTTTAGTTGACCTAACATTCTTGAGTTATAAAGGAATGATCTTACTCTTAATTAGTCAACATGGGCTTAGTCCCCTCTTAATAATTAATACTCAATCGTTATGTTGCTCCTAATTTAGGGAATGATCATGGTTTATAATCAATAAAGCCTTCTAAAAAAGCCGAAAGCAAAAACACGAAAACTTATGCTCAATGTAAACAATATCATACCAATATGGAGGGTCGTTTTCAACTAACAATGTTTAAGTTGTTGAATGATGAAAGTCAAAGTCTCTTGGTTTGAAACCTTTTGGAGAAGCACGTAGCACGAGAACTCATGCTCAAAGTGAACAATATCATATATTGTGGAAAGTCGTGTTCGTCTAACCTAATTAACTAATTAAACTATATAAAAACCTAACTTGAACAAAACAAAAAAAATGAAATTTTTGGTACAAGGAGGCCATGATTACAAAAACGACGGCATGCCCATTAAAGAAAAAAAAGCCTAAAAACAGGAAATCATGAACAAGAGCGACAGGGAAAAGATCAAATAAGAAGAGCTGCAAAGTTCTTGGAGTGTTCATAGTTAGGGTTTGTGGGTTAACAAAAAGTTCGTACCTTGGAGGTTCTAGAGAGATAATGGTAAGCAAAATTGCCTTCAAGCCGATATTCATGCATAACCCAGTTGCTTTTTTCTCCTTTTGGAGCTCTTCCTCTATAAAACACCAATGTCTTCTTCATCCCCACCAATGAATAGGTTTTCGCACTGTAAATTTCCCTGTCTTTTCCGGTGGCTTTCCAGTACCCGGCTTCCGTGGCCCGGTTCGTCCTTAAACCGGTTGGATACTTCCGGTCTCGAAGGCTGAAGAAATACCATTCCTTCTCTCCCATCTTAGCTTTCTCTGCAATGGGTAGAGAATTAATTAGTGGTTAGGAGAAGAATCGAGTGGGTGAGGTATGGGCTTACCCGGAAGCTCCCATGGCTCGCACTTGTTGAGGTCGACTTCGGCGATGGCTCGACCGGTGAAGGTGCTGTCGAGAACTTTCTTGAGGAGGTAGTAGGTGATGAGCTCCTCGTCGGTGGGGTGGAAGCGGAATCCGGGGGGAAGGTGGTGGCTGTCATCGTAATGGGAAAATGGAGAAACGTCCATTGGGGGAAGGGAAAAAGGAGGGGAATTTGGAAGTGGGGAAGGAATTGAAGGGATACCCAGAAGAGAAGGGCGAAAACCCAGATGAAAAATGTGTGGAAGTGGAAGAATGGGGAATAAAAAGAGTGGTAAAATGGGGGTGTCGTGTTGTGTGTGTGCGAGAGAGAGAGGGGGAGGGGGGAGGGATGGCGATGTGTGTGCGTCAGTGGGGGGGTGTTCTGATTTGAGTATGTATGCGTGCGTGAGGAAGTGTGCAGGTATTCCCATGTCAGTGAAGAAAATCAAACGAAACCCATCACGAACCAACCTTTTTTTTGTTTTTTGTTTCTGTTCTCACTCCTTTCTTTGAACAGTATATCATGTTAGGAATTAGAACTCTCCCTAATGGCGTTATTTGGAGCTCTCGAACAATGTACACTCTTTATTTGTCTATATTTGAGGATTCTATTGACATAGTCGAACAAAGTACACCCTTTGTTCGTCGATATTTGAGGATTCTAATATCATGGTCGAACAAAGTACACCCTTTATTCATTGATATTTGAAGATTCAATTGTCATGGTTGAACAAAGTATACTCTTTGTTTGTCGATATTTGAGGATTTTATCGTCATGGTCGAATAAAGTACACCCTTTGCTCGTCGATATTTGAAGATTCTAATGTTATGGTCAAACAAAGTACACCTTTTGTTTGTTCGTTGATATTTGAGGATTCTATTATCATAACTAAGTTTAAGGCATGACTCTGATAACATATTAAGAATCATGACTCATACAAATTAGCCGATGGACTCAATCTCTACAGTCCTCAATATATTCTTAGTTGAAGTGATTTGTTGGAGAGCTTTTAGACTCTAAAACACTTATTTTCAACTAGTTTCGAACTGTTCTTCATTCTCACCGATGCTTTCTTATACTCCAAGAGAGTTGGAAAAAAATCTTAGTAATATGAAGGGGAAACATAATCGTAACTGAAAGTGGTTATTTAGATCAATCACATATTATCGCCCACGTTGTTTTGAAATAAATGGTGTGAGTCTGTCAAATGCCGGACAAGTTGCTAGTGGCATAAACTATATTCATCAACCAAATTTATTCAGTGATTCCAACTTTAACTCCTTGGTTTCTTTAACAATAGTTAACTATTATAGTTGTACTGCAACTAATCGATCAATTAGACGGGGGTATTATTGTAAACAAATTATAAAGTTTCCATCCGAATTTTAAGGATAAATATATTTTTTAGCGTTTTTTTGAAGACCACGATAATTTGCGACATGATCATGAAATTTATGTAACGATTAGTGCCTTAAAGTCAACATGCTATACAATTCTCGAATTATAAACCGTTAGATATTCGATAATTATTAAATCAATCAAACCGAGCGCCCAATTAATAAAAATTTGATTGAAATTTAGAGATACTTTATAAATAATTCGAAGCTAGATATCGGAGTTTAAATAAATATAAAAATATATTAATATATATATATAATTTATATGTAAATAAAATATTAAATTATCCAAAATAAAGTTGGAAAAAAGCAAGAGAGAGAGAGAAAGAAGGGCTTCATTTTCAGCATTGTATCAATAAAGCTGTTTTAAAATCTCTTCCTGTCAGTACATTGAAATCATTTAATTAATATTTTAATATTTTATTTTATTTTATGTCGGATAAAAAAAAATAGTTTTAAAAAATATAATTCATGAATTTCGTGATTAAAATAACAATATTATAAAGTCTGAATGATAAGACAAAATTGAAATCACATTTAATTTTACATTATAGTTTATAAATGTTGTTGGGTATAAGTGGATTTAATGCAATTTAATTTTTTGACTACCACGTAATAATATGATTTAATGCATTCCATTTATTCTACCATTTTCCATTTCATTTACCTCCCCATTAATTTTAATTTTTTTTTCATTATATAAATACTACAATAAATACATAAAATAAACATTTAATTATATTAGATAATTTGATAATTTGATATTTGTAACAAATATTAATATGCGATGAATGTGTTGATATTCAAATTTTATGAGATTATAGTTATTATAGTGTTAAGAATCACGACTCTTCACAATTGTATGATATTGTCTATTTTGAGCATAGACCCCTGATACAAAGTACACTATAAGTATCTCCTGAGGCTCATGAAGCTCCTTTTCTCTAGAGCCATTGAATAAAATACACCATTTGTTCGACACTTTAGTCACTTTTGACTACACCTTTGAGGCTCACAATTCTTTGTTCTATATTTGAGGATTCTATTGACATGGCTAAGTTTAGGGCATGACTCTAATACCATGTTAGGAATCACGACTACTTCTTATGAGTTTGCTTTGGGCTTTCCTCATACAAACGGAGATAGTATTCCCCATTTATAAACTCATGATCTTCCACTAAATTAACTAATGTGAGAATCACTCCCAATTAGCGGTAACAACTAGGTGGTTGGAAACATCTTTAGAACCAACCAAAAAATTTAAGTTGGTGACCTCGAGAAACCTAAATAAATTTCACAACTCAAATTAACTCACGAGTTGGGTTAGATTGAGTTATCGGTTATTTTTTAATTATTAAAAGAAATCCTTATTCACGGTATATATTACGTTAATAACTAAACATGCGTAAAATTCAAATATCAAATATTTATGGCATAAATTAGGAAATGAAAAAAATGCATTCATCAATCCCATCCGTCCATTCAGTCCATCGCCATCAAAAGAAGTTTGGAGAGATTGATGCAATGGGATTTTGACACATCATGCTCGGATTTTGAGACCTCTCTTTCTCTCTCTAACATCAAATCATACCTTCTCTATCTTATTTATTACATTTACCCAAATAAGTAAAAAAAAAAAAAAAGTAGAACCGGATCGAACCGAACCGGGTTCAGTTGGAGGTCCCACTGAGTTGACTTTAGTGAGTGTTAAAATTTTAAAAACATAGGGAAACGAGAAATGCGTGTGATGAATAATTTTTTTATTTTATAAGAATTTGTAATTTAGCGTGAGAATATAAAGAGCGCGTGGTTCGAGAGATTAGCATGGGATTGCGGAAGGCGCGTGACGACAAGGTGAAGTCACCCGCGCCGCCCTCGGGTTCACAATATTAAATTACAGTTGTTTTGTTTTTTTTTTTTTTTGTTAGTTTGATGATGTCATTGGGCCTTTCCTCTGCCTTCCGCGGCCCAAGGCACAAGGCCCAATCAACAACTAATTTGAGACAGTAATTAGTTATATGCCACCGATAGACTAGCACATAAAAATCTTGTCAAGAATGGGATTCGAACCCATGCCCTTTCGGACCAGTACCTGAAACTGGCGCCTTAGACCAACTCGGCCATCTTGACTGTTTGGAGAAGTAACGAAACATGTAAATATGTTAATAAAATTCTAAAATCCAAAGGTTTCTATGGATGCTACATATAGTTAGTTTGTACGGTTAGAATTTTAATTTAATTAGTAGATTTGTCCCGCCTCTTTTAACTCAATAAAAGAATCAAGACGTTTGACATCCATGCACACTTAATCGTTTTCTCTTGAAAATTTAAAAGCACTTCGAGATTAATAAGTAATTCGACACTATTTGGTTCTAAAATCATAGCTTTTAACTTTTAATACTGTTAGGATACCTAAAAATACACATTTCTTAGCCCTTGGATCTAACTTTCATTACACACCTGAAGACTTTCGTGCCCGATAGATCGGGGTACCTACCCTGCCAAAGTTCTTGTAGTGTTTTTAGATCTATGGCAATAGATGCCAAAGTTTTCGGCGGCCCTATTTCATTGATATATATATATATATATATATATATATATATATAGTGTCTAACTATACCTCTAGATGGACAATAATATCTAAACTTCTGATTTAAAACTCAATCTCATTAATGGTCAGTTTAGTTTAAACTAAATTAATAAAAATACTCTTAACTTTATATATATTTTTTTGGGTTAAAAAATACTGAGAATAATACCTTTAAATAATAATAATAATCTAAAAAATACTCTTATAAAAAAAATAATAGTCTAAATTCAAACTTTCTTTAATTTGTAATTTAACCTAACAAATTCATGGCAGAGTCAACGCAAGAAAACTAAGTCAACCAAGTCAATGGAAATTGACTAACGTTGACTTGAAAAGTTAATTTTGTCCCACCGAATTTATTCATTTACCCATTATTTTAAACATTGCCGTCAAATGAAGTAACCTCTCAATTTTCAAATTACTACATTTTAGATTGAAAATCCCACTTCTTAAATTTATTATTTAATAATATTTAACCTATCTAACTTAGTTATTAATTTAACACGTATTTCAGATAAATGTATTTTTATTAAATAATTAAAAAATAATTTAACAATCCAATCTAAAAATAAAAGGGTTGAATTGGGTCGGGTTGTGAAGTCTATCACTAACCCAACCACTCTGAAATTTCGAGTTGGCTTGAAAGATTTTTCCAATCAAACTCTGTTTATTATTACAAAAAAAAAAAAACGAGAAAAAACTTAGAAACAAAACATTTTAGATTATGGACATCGATGTTTAATTTAGGTCGGTTGTCAACATATAAAGTCACAAGTCTGAAAAAGAGGTTGGGTCGTTACATAATTTCAACAATCACATGTATTGACATTGTGTGAATTGATGTCTAATTTTTAATACAAAATTAATAAATTTTATTTACGAATTTCACTATTTTAATGTATTTAACGCGAGAAGTTTAGAAATATATATATATATTTTTCATTTTAAAAAATCAATCTAAACAAAAGTCAAAAAGTTGAAATCTTCCCGACCTCTAAATAAGTTTAAAATGAGACTTATAAAATATGAAGTCTTTAGGCTCCTTCGAGAAGACGTAATTCAAGTGATTAAGCTTTACGAGAACAACTCAAACAAGTTAGAATCTTACCGACCAATAAAATGAGATAGACAAAATAGAGAACGATGGAACCTATGCTAGTTTGTCCCAGACTCGGAACTACGTTCAATTATAATAGAAGAGTACAAGAAACACTTATAATCCAACAAAAGCTATCGACTTCCAAATATCACAATCGAATAGCATGAGATAAACAACAAATAA